ACTCCATTCTTCCTTCATTCGTAAACAAGACCTATCCATTCATTATCTATACCCGCTTCTTCCTTTCAGGGTCATGGTGGTCACTGGTTCCCATATCTAGCAGTCACTGTGCAAGGGGCAGGGTACACCCTGGACAGGTTGCAAGTCCATCACAGACTTGAAAGACCTCAAGATACTTGAACTGCACCACTTGGGGCAGGACCTCTTCCCTGACCCGGAGGAGGCACTGATCCTCACCCCGRCCACTTCACACTTTGCTGCAAACCACTCCAGTGAAAGCTGGAGATCACGATCTGATGAAGGCAATACGACCACATCATCTTCAAAAAGCAGAGATGCAATCCTAAGTCCACCAAAACAGATCCTCTCAACACCTTAGCTGTGTTATGATTTGTGTCTGTATTAATGTTTTATTTTAGTTTCTGTCTTGTCATCTGTTTTCYTCCTCCTGTCTGCCTTTGCTCCAGCCCCGCCCACTCTCACCTGCTCCTCGTGTTTCTCTCCCAGTTGTTTCCTGTTTGTGCTCGTTAGTCTCACCTTTATATTCTGTCTTGTCTTCACTTTCCTGTCTGATCATTGTGCTGTTTTCAGCCTGTGATGATTCTTGTTTCTTGTCTTGCCAAGCCACGCCTAGTGAGTTTTTGAGCTGCTCTGTCAGTATTTTTTGTTTTATTAAATCCTTATTTTTTCCCTTTTGAAGCTGCCTGCACCCTGGATTCATTCTTTCCAAGCCATTTCATAACAAGCTGTGCCTAGAAATTCTGTCCATAAAAGTTATGAACAGAATTGGTGACCAAGGGCAACCTTGGCAGAGTCCATTTCTTACTGGAAACGAGCTCGACTTACTACTGGAAATGTGGATCAAACTCTGGCACCGGTCGTACAGGGACCTAACAGCCCATATCAAAAGGCTTGGTACCCCATACTTCCGGAATACCCGCCACAGGAGTCCCTGTGGGACACAGTCGAACACCTTCTCCAAGTTCACAAAACACATGTAGACTGGTTGAACAAACTCCCATGAAGCCTCCAGGACCCTGCTGAGGGTGTAGAGCTGGTCCAGTGTTCAACGACCAGGACGRAAACCACACTGCTCTTCCTGAATCTGAGATTTGACTATCCGACRGACCCTCCTCTCCAGGTCCCCTGAATAGACCTTACCAGGGAGGCTTATAAGTGTGCTCTCCCTGTAGTTGCAACCATATTGATATATATTACTGGACTGGGTGTCACGTGACCTGGGCGTGCCTCGCAAGGGGGATTTTTATGCATTGAGCTAAYGCTAATGCTAACTATTAAAATCAATGAGCAGAAGCAGAGAGGTGCAAACAAATGTTTAATAAATGTTCAAATGTCACAAATGCATTGCTATAAACTGCAGAAATTGTTGCAAGTTTCCAAGAGCAAAAGGGATTATGCTTCACAGGTAAATATTATGCATATTTAACCAACATTATTGATTGCAACTGTAAAACCTGTATGCTAACTTGTAAAAACCTTCAGTGTTCATGTTTAACCTTTTTTAGAATTGATTGTAGTCCAAATGTACTGATATTAAACAAGTAAAATGTGAACTTTAATGGATTGCTGAGAAGTTAGACTGAATATATAAATACAGAAATTATGATGTGGACTCATTTATGACAGACAGTAATGTAATGACTGCGCATCATAAACATAAAATTATACGGTCCTTCTCAAGTTGTCAGACAGGCCAGTTTTTCAGATATTATATTTTCTACAACCAGTATTTGTGTGTTTTTCCACATTTCCAGACAAAAAGAAGAAAGAAAAACTGTACCAGCTGTGGGTCAGTGTCAGATACTGTACAGCCTTCATTAATATGAAGAACAATTTTTTGTGGTAAAAATAAATTCATTAATAGTTCTTTGTGACTTGAAAAAAATTGTACTGATTTTAAAATTATTGTAGTTTACAGCAAAACTTTAGTCAAGTTAAGTTGACATAAGACAATCAAACAGCATGAACACATATTTTATTGTATTGTGTAGTTTTGTTTCAAGCAGTGACTTCTATGCAAAAATCACAGTCTGTGGTCCCCCTTTTTCAACAGAGGGACCACCACCCCATCTGCCAATCCAGGGGAACTGCTACCGATGTCACGCAATATTGTAGAGTTGTGTCAACTAGGGCTGCCACAATTAATCGATTAATCGACGACTAATCGATTATTAAAATAATCGATGACTAATTTAATAATCGATTAATCGTCTTTTTTATTCTTTACTTTGTTTTTCTCTCCAAACTGCTTTGACACCTTCCACTGCCACATCTGCCTTTCTGTCTTTGACACACATGCACAGTAGTGGTAACTGGGGTAGGCCGTGGACGTCACAAGACATTATACAGACAGGCTCTGGTATCATGGCTACCTGGCAATGGAGCTCAAAGTGTGGGAATCACTTTAAGAAAATAAAATGAAAGAGAAACCTGTGCAATATCTGCAGAGCAGAACCTGCCTTCCACAGCAATTATTTTTAGTTAGCATATAGCTAAAATCTAACCATGGTTATATAATAGCAGCTGCATTCTGACATGATAAGCTGTATGTTTTATATTCAATTAATGTATGATCCGATTAGTCGACTAATCAAATAAATAATCTGTGATTAATCGATTATTAAAATAATCGTTTGTGGCAGCCCTAGTGTCAACCAACACAACCCCACAACGGTTGAAACTCCGGGCGGATCTCATCCATTCCCGAGACTGCCACAGAGTAGCTTTTTAAACACCTCAGTGACCTCGACATCAGAGATTGGAGAACCTGACCAAGGGTCCCCAGGCTCTGTTTCCTCCTTGGAAGATGTGCTGGTGGGATTGAGGAKGTCTTTGAAGTATTCTGCCCACCAAGCCACAACGTCCCAAGTTGAAGTCAGCAGCGCACCATACCTACCATACATAGTGTTGGTGGTGAACTGCCCCCCCCCCCACACACACACACACACAGATGCAGGATGGTGGACCAGAATAGCCTCGAAGCCATATGTAAGTCTTTGTCCATGGCCTCGCCAAACTCCTCCTACACCCCGGTTTTTGCCTCAGTGACCACCCGAGCCTCAATCCGCAGGCCCACAGGCCAAATAGACCCGATAAGCCTCCTTCTTCAGTTTGACAGCATCCCTCACTGCCAGTGTCCACCAGCGGGTTCGTGGGTTGCTGCCATGGCAGGCTCTGACATTATGGCAACAGCTCCGGTAAGCCACCTCGACAATGGAGGCATGGAACATGGCCCACTCTGACTCAATGTCCCCCACCTCACTGAGGATGTGTTCGAAGTTCTCCCGGAGGTGTGAGTTGAAGCTCAGTCTAACAGGAGAGCCCGCCAAATGTTCCCAGCAGACTCTCACTATACGTTTGGGTCAGGCAGGTCTGACTGCCATTCTTTGCTAGTCATGGATTGTCCATTACAAGCACCATGTTCAAACACAAGGGTGTCTACATGTGCTCTTGGCATCAGGATCCCCTAGGCCACAGTTTGATGATCGAATTTATTGTTGTTTCATTTGATCTGAGTCTGCATGTCTTAAACACTTGAGTGAAAATAGGGGTGGAGCACAGAAGTCCAATAACAAAACACCACTCGGGTTCAGATCGGGGGGGGGCATTCCTTAAAACTACACCCCTCCAGGTCTCACTGTCATTGCCCACGTGAGTGTTGAAGTCCCCCCAGTAGAACAAGGGAGTCCCCATAAAAAGTGTTATCCAGCACCCCCTCCAAGGACTCCAAAAAGTGTGGGTAATCTGAACTACAACAGTCAGGACCCATCCCCCCACACAACTCTGGAGTTGCCCCTGCCTCTCAGCAGGGCCAACTCCACAGTGAAAGAGTGTCCAACTCCTTTTGAGGAGACTTGTTCCAGAGCCAGAGTGGTGAGTCGAGGTCGGAACCTCTCAACCTCACACACCAGCTCAGGCTCCTTCCCCACCAGAGAGGTGACATTCCATGTTCCTAAAGCCAGCTTCTGTAGCCAAGGATTGGACCGCCAGGGTCCTAGCCTTCGACCATTGCCCATTAGACACCGCACCCAACCCCTTCGGCCACTCCCACAGGTGGCGAGCCCATGGGAATGGGGACCCATTTCTCCTTTTTGGGCTGTGCCCGACTGGGCTCCATGGACGAAGTGCCGGCCACCAGGTGCTCGCCAACTTGCCTCACCTCCAGGCCTGGCTCAGTGACCCAYGTCTGGGCGAGAGAACACTAAGTCCATTTATGTTAGTGGTCATAAGGGGTCTTTGGACTGCACTCTGTCTGATCCCTCACCTAGGACCTGCTTGCCTTGGGTGACCCTACCGTGGGCTTGAGTGTCCTATTGTGACACTCAAACCTCTCCACCACAATAAGGTGGCAGCCCATGGAGCCTCAGATACTTAACAGAACCTCCAGCCTCAGACATTGAACAGAACCAATACTCCAACAACAACTGTTTCTTATTTTACTATCAGGTCAGGCTGCAGTTACATGCACGGTCTTTGCATATATGAAGACGAGAATTGACAGCTGTGGGGTTTTGATCTCATGGTGACTGTCACACTCAGAGGATGTGTCCTGGATGACTCTGGGCTACTACCACATCAGATATTAGCACTTTAAATCGAACATAGACTGCAATACTCAGTTTTTTATAATAAATTTGCTGTGGCATCCATCTTTAACTGAGATGACTCCAACGGTTAGGAGATGGAGATGTGCATCCAATGATTAGTTTCTGCAAATTACATTCAAGTGTGTTCACTAGTTTAGGATATTTTGCTAACACACACCCACAGAGGCAATAACATTACTGCTACAGCAATACTTTCAAATCAGACTTAAATAAAATAAAATAAAATGAAATAAAACACCAATTCTCTGTCTATAATATAGGTTAACAGTGTTAAACTTTCTTTAACAACAAACCCACATAAGCCTCAGTCTAGAGCCAGCCAGTTCTGAAACTGGAACCTAAAAACCAGAACAGAAAGAATCAGACACTTACTCTGATGTCCTGAAGCTGAAGCTGCTCCTTCTTCTGCTGCTGCTTTCAACTAMTGCAAACACCGACCCACAGCCCTGCAAGCCCCGCCCACTAACGCCCACCGGGGATCGCAGAACCACATTGGAACGGACAGCAACCAGCAAGACATGAGAATTTCCGCCGCCATCTTGAAAAGATCTTKGAGTGGGAACGACGGTCAAAATCCGATTAAAACACGGAAAGCTAGAGTTCAATGTTTATCCATAAAATCTTATAATTATTGGCGCTAACATTTTTTCTAAACGTGGCATTAATGTTCATCAGTTAATATTAACTTAAATCATTGAAACTGTGGCTAAAGTTTCACTTTGTCTCTTGTCCAAACTTGTAAAACTGTTCTAATGTCCAAAAGTAGATAAATTGTTCTTGCAAGTGTAAGTGATAGAACTTGAAACAACTTAGAGATTGCCGCAAAGATTGTCTATATGTGACCCATTACATCGAAACGAGGATTAAGTCCAAAAGTTGTATATGGAGAAATAGGCAAATATAGTGTTTTGACTAAAATGTCAACAAAAATTGCATTTTATCAAAATATAATGAATAAATGCCTTATTAATGTATCATTTGAATGAACTGTCTGAAAT